TTAATGGGTTAGGACCTCAATATATTGCAGATATGCTCACTGAATATAAACCCAACAGATCACTCAGATCATTAGGATCACATCAGCTAGAAATACCAAGGGTTCACTCTAAGCATGGAGAGTCTGCTTTTAGCTATTATGCCAGCCGCAGCTGGAACCAGCTTCCAGAAGAGATCAGGTGTGCTCCTACAGTAGTCACATTCAAATCAAGACTCAAAACACATCTGTTTAGCTGTGCATTTACTGAATGAGCACTGTGCCACTGTTCGTGTATTTTTTTTGGAACTATGATTAAGTTACTGCACTTAATTTTATTCTAAATAGTTTTAATTTACTGTATTTTATTTTTATCATAATTTTTATTTTTCATTATTTCTTATTTTTTATTCTAAACTGTTTTAATTATTCTGATTTATTTTGATTATTTTAATTTCTTCTATGTAAAGCACTTTGAATTGCCATTGTGTATGAAATGTGCTATATAAATAAACTTGCCTTGCCTTGCCTTAAATGTATATGTATATCTAATTAAATATGTATATATGTATATCATATTAAATGTATATGTATATCTATTAAATGTATATGTATATCTCCCTCTCTCTCATATATATTCTTTGAGTCTGTCTGTGATTACACGAAGAAAAAAAAAACATACAAAGCTACAATACAGTGAAACATTTTCGGTCCTTGTGCTCTTACACTTACTGTACAGTGAGAATGCTTTATGATGTAAAATTATGTCATAAACCGATTTTATTTATCAATTAACTTATATTAAATAAATGAAATAAATATTTGGTATAACCATCATTTGTTTTTAAAACAGTTTTTGTCCTCTGTATTACTTGCATATAGTTTTGTAGGGAGGTTTCTTCAAGCATCTTGGATATTTTGCCAGAGTACTTCAGTTGTTTTCTGTTTCTTCATGTAATCATATAAAACCTTAATGATGTTGAGATCAGATCTCTGTGTGGATCAGACGCTGCTGTCAGATTCCTAGTGTACTGTATACAAATATGTCACAGGATTAACAATTAATAGCAAAAGGAATGTTTATAAATGTAAAATGATTTTCTTACTGACATACTACAGCAAAAGATATAAATAACTTTCTTATTTTGTATTGTGAAAATACTGTATATAACAATAGAAAATTTCTCAGTGATCGTCAATAAAACTCAATTTTTCTCGGTTTAATGAAAACCAATAGATCGTTATGGCAGAGGGCGGCGATTGCCTGTAGAATAGGTCCACTGGAACGTGTTAACGCAAACGTGCAAGTTTCACGTTTGGGGGTTAAAGGGTTAAACCCTGACATCTACACGTTTTCCAAAGTGGACCAACGTGATTATTTCTCGTCTTGTCGTGATACCGGGTTGTGCAGGAGCAGCATTTTTCCTGGTTGCTTTTATAAACTGACAATCATTTATTTAACGGTGCCTTTTTAAAGTAGACTAGTAGGCCTATTAAAGGATTAGTTCACTTTTGAAAAAACTTTTGCTGATAATTTACTCACCCCCATGTCATCCAAGATGTCCATGTCTTTCTTTCCTCAGTCGAAAATAAATTTAGGTTTTTGATGAAAACATTCCAGGATTTTTCTCCATATAATGGACTTCAATGGGAACCGGATGGTTCAAGGTCCAAAAGATAGTGTTAATAAAAGTTTCAGATGCAGCTTCAAATGTCTTTAAACGACACCAGACAATGAATAAGGGTCTTATCATGCGAAACGATCGGTTATTTCAAAACATATTCCAAAATGTAACTTTTCTAAGGACAAATGCTAGCCTTGCTATATTCTCTGAGGCACGTTTGTAACGTCACGTAATACGTAATTACGTTCAAAAGGTCACGGGCGACGTAGCCGGAAGTACAGAATCAAAATCGTCCGACATCGTTGTTTTACCTTTTAATTCCTTTTTTGTAAACGGCGTTTGAGTTAGTTTGCACGTTCAACCTATGCGTTCAACTTGTAAACACTGACTCTGTACTTTCGGCTACATCGCCCGTGACCTTTTGAACGTAATACGTGACGTTGAAAACGCGCCTCACAGAATAGAGCAAAGCTAGCATTTGTCCTTAGAAAAGTTACATTTTTAACTTTGATAAGTTAAAAATTTGATAACGCATGATAAGACCCTTATTCATCGTCTGATATCGTTTAAAGACATTTGAAGCTGCATCTGAAACAGTTTTTAACTGTCTTTTGGACCTTGAACCATCCGGTTCCCATTGAAGTCCATTATATGGAGAAAAATCCTGGAATGTTTTCATCAAAAACCTAAATTTCTTTTCGACTGAGGAAAGAAAGACATGGACATCTTGGATGACACGGGGGTGAGTAAATTATTAGCAAAAGTTTTTTCAAAAGTGAACTAATCCTTTAAGGCCTAGTAAAATTACCATTAAGTAGAATTTTTTTGTACTTCACTTTTACCATGTCCATTATTATAGTGTGGTGACTCTGACGTTACAATGAACAAAGTAATAATGAAATTATGAAAATAAAATAATAATAATAATAAGTTATTAAAACATCTAACATGGCCACCACAAACGCATTTAATTTGTCTTCTACTTTTGCCAGCACTCTCTCCTGGCTTTTGCACACTTTGAGGTGTTCCCTGGCATTTTAATTAAAGATTGAAATTCAGCATAACCTTCCATTAAAAGCTCTTGCTCTGTTTGGGAGAAAAAATGGGCGTGGTCTTTGGCCATGCTGAACAGCCAATAGTAGCATTGCTGATCACTGTTTCTGCTATCGCTACATGTCGCCTTATCCCATTCAGACCCTGGGGCCTGTGTCCATTACAATGGACATCACATGTCAGCCCCTTTTTTTTTAACTTCTGGAGCATTTCACCTAGTTTAAAGCCTGCAGTCCATGAGATTGGACGTTTGTCATCCAATCAAATGCCAGTAAATCTCTGCATGTAGTAATAATATAAAAAACTCTACATTGAAGAGAAGCATGGCAGCACTTCACTCCAAACACAGAAGCAAGCAACAATTTCGAAGGTGTATTAACATTTTCCACCGTCCGCGAACCCGCTATTTTTATAATGGCATAAATTCTATGTGGGATCTCAATATCTCAGCTCTGGAAGGGTCTAGAGACTCCATTTTTGCACTCAGGTCTAAGTCTCATGGCCCTCTATCAGAATCCAGAGTTTCAAGAAGTTCAGAGAAACTCAAAATTTCGACCCCCCCAATAAAAAAAAAAACGACAGGGGTACCCCTGTTGACATTTTCGGTGCAAGAAAATAAGTTTCTCTGATCTTCTTGAAACTCTGGATTCTGATAGAGGGCCATGAGACTTAGACCTGAGTGAAAAATTGAGTCTCTAGACCCTTCCTGAGCTGAGATATGGACATCCCACGTAGCATTTATGCAATTATAAAAATAGTGGGTTAGCGGACGGTGGAATTATGGGATAGCGCTTGGTGCCACGGACTCAGGGGCCCCAGCTTAGTGCAGTAAAATAGTTTTTTAATCATGAAAGAAACTTTAAATAAAAATGTCCAAAAATACACTACCCAAATCCCCATTGAATAGATTGCAGGCAGGATTCTGTCCAATTGCAGCTTATTGCATGAAGGCTGGGGTTCGTACTTTTCAAAAATAGTGGGTTATTGGACAAATAGTGGGTTTGTGGACAGTGGAATTATGGGATGGCGGTTGGTGCCACGGACTCAGGGGGCCCAGCTGAGTGCAGATAAATGGTTTTCATAATGACAGAAACTTTAATTAAAATGTCCACATCAAATAAACTGTCTGAATCATCATTCAATAGATTGCCGGTGGGATTCTGTCCAATTGCAGCTTATTGCATGAAGGCTGGGGTTAGTATATTTAAAAAGAGTGAGTTATTGGACATATAGTGAGTTCGCGGACAGTGGAATTTTGGGACGGCGCTTGGTGCTATGGACCCCGGGGGGGGGGGCTCCTGAGTGCGGTAAAAAAAAAATTTCACGACAGGAACTTTAATTAAAATGTCTATCAAAAACAGAACACTACCCGAATCCCTATTCAATAGATTGCCGGTGGGACCGCGTCCAATTGCAGTATATTGAATGAACTGCGGAAAAACGTTAAAAAATATAGTGGTTTATTGGACAAATAGTGGGTTCGTGGGACGGGGGCGTGTCCGGGGACTCGTCCGATGCACACAGGAAATGACTCTAACATGAATTCATTTATTGATTCCTAGGTTTGTTTTGTTATGAATAAACAAATGTGCAATATATAAAAGAAAAACCTTACAATTAAAGTTGTAATGTTATAATGTTCAAGTTTTTGTTCTAAAAAAAGAAGATGCACACAGAAAATGACTCTAATATGACCAGATTGATTGATTCGAAGATATTTAGTTTGTTACAAACAATGTGAACCCTTATGTTGTTGAAGTTTGGTCATTTAATAAATTCATAATGAATATTAATAAAGATAGGCTACACTGTTGAAATATGTGAGATGTGTGGTTTATATAACCTGCAAAGTATACATTAAATTGATTGTGACTGATATGAAGGGGGAGGAGAATTGATACGTGCATCACGTTTAGTCAATAAAACAGTTTAGTATAGGATGCACCTGTGTATCCTCGCTTATGACTCCTCAGGAAGCCTCCTCAGTCCTCGATCCTCGACTCCTCACGGTGCAATTAGAGAATTGAGATGTCCTACAAGATGGCTGAGCTCGATCGGTTTCCGGGTCATAGGATGGAGGACGGAGGAGAGATAATGGGAAGCACCTAATAGATCAGTTCCTTAATAGATCAGTGTTTTTGAACAAATGAGTTGAGTGAACGATTCAATGTCTCGCCAAAGACAGCAAACTGCAAAAATGCAGTGGAAACCAGCAGTCAAACAAGCGGAGTGACATACAGTGAAAACGGCCCACTCCTGCACTCTGCAAGTCTTTATGATTGGATTTAGTACGGTAACACTGTCTTTTGGGAATTAAAGGATTTAAATGGACTTTCTCAAATAAAGAACAGTACAAGAATAAGATTTTTAATCGATTCGAACCGTTTGCAAATGCTAACATTTTTTAATAGAACATTCAATATGATTCATATGCCGAAAATGAAACAAATGCTTTAATATATACACTATTGTGCAATTATGAATTACATAAAACAGGTAAATGACTGTAAATTCACAAAGCCAAAATGTAACATTTCTATTGTAAAACATAAACTAGATCTTATCACTCCCTCACCATTAAAATCTGCAGGGACGCTTCATGTTTGGTATCTGTGAAAGTTCCAGCTCAATAATTATGACCAGTAGGGATGGGCAACCATTAATCGCAATTAATCGCATCCAAAATAAAAGTTTGTGTTTATGTAATATATGTGTGTGTGGTGCGTATAATTATTTTGTATATATAAATACTAACACATGCATGTATATATTTAAGAAAAATGTGTTCTTAATATATCAAATATTTATACATAATATTAATTATGTATAAATATATATAATGTATATACATGCAAATATTTCTTAAATATATACATGCATGTGTGTGTATTTATATATACAAAATAATTATACACACCACACACACTTATATTACGTAAACACAAACTTCTATTTTGGATGCGATTAATCGTTGCCCATCCCTAATGACCAGCCTTGACTTTTTGTCAAATTCAAATGACTAAAACCGAGCTATAATAATAATAATAGCAGTGATTAGTAAGAATAAACTAGACATTGCTGGTTTAAGGAAAGAGCATTTGAACAGAAAATCCTGTCATCAGGACTCAGAACATTGACACACATATTTAAGAACTCGACAGCATATGAACATGTAACCGAACAGGAAGTTAAACTCAACATTGGGGAGCTTCAGGAAACGTGTCTGCGTCTGGCACGTCTGATGAAGGCTTTCTCTCTCCACTTGTTTGGCTGCAGCATGTGGGGTCCGTTGTGAACACAGAGGATGGTCATCTGCTCCGCGTACTGCAGGTTCTGCAACAGCTACACACACACACACACACAGTTACACACGCACATCAGTGAACACGTCACACACAACCTTATTCAGGAAACCCACCTTAGGAGTGATGAAGAAATACTGAGATGTGTTCACACCGCAAGCGCTTCTCACGACAATGTCAAACACCCGCCTCTCGTTGACAGGGTCCATTCCCTGCAAACACACACAAGAGTCACACACACTCTACCCGAGGAACAGAAAAACATAATACCACAGCTATACTAGATGTTCTTCTACTAAGGTAATTGACTTCATACGGATTAGCATCAATGAAGCTGACATGAAACAAAGATAAAAGCAAAACTGAAAAGACTAAAGAAACATTTATGTCATTAATTAGATATAAACATTATAGACGGCTCTGTGGAATACTTGACTCTGATTGGTGGTATGTTATTCCCCTCATAACCACTGAAAACAGAACACAGGCTCACCCGGGTCACTGAATTCAGCAACGCAATAAGCGTGCTGGGAACGGGTTTATTTAATTGTGGAAGTTTTATGTTTGGTGAGCTAATAAAATATTCAAACTCAGTCAGATCCAAAATTTGTGTAGTTATTTAACATGTCATCCGGTATCGCGGCCTCGCTCTCTCGCTTCATACAAACGCAGCTGCTGCCATTTTGTTACTATTGTTTTGCACACTGCAATTGATTTAAAATAGTATCTATGTGTTATGATCCGTTTCATCTCAGATCAATATCCCCATTATTTATGTAATAAGTGGTATGACTATACCGTATCTCTTAAATGTCCGCCTAGTTTGAACTGCTTTCTCCGTGGAAACTTTGCATTTAAATAGCTATTTTTTGACTAATTATTTACTTATGTGGCAAGTATCCATATAATATGCAGGATAATGTATGGTGTACATCCAGCCGACTGACACAAGATCAGCCTGTCTGGGTTTATTCTGCAATAACAACTGGCTGGATGTCCATTATAAATTACTTAAAGAGCACCTATCATGGATTTTTGAAAATGACTGTTCATGTAGTGTGGACTATAGCTCTAAGGGAATGAAAACATCCTGCAAAGATTTATATCTGAAAGTGCACCGTATATAAAGTTATTGTCTTTCAAAAGTGAGAGTCGACTCTGAGTCTATGAAACGAATTGTTTTTGAAACGAGTCATTAGCTGTTACGTCGTGACGTAGATACAAAACATTAGCTCATTGGCCGCTCCCAACAACTGCGCGCGCAGACGGGAGTGCAAACTTGAAGTGACGTCTAGAACACATTCAAAAACTTCAGCTGAATAGCGTCATGTCGAGAAGACGCTGTGTTCTACATTGCAAAGACAGTTCAGCCACTTGTATCCATTGCCCAAGGACGAGCATGTGAAGAATCCGTGGTTAGAGTTCATACTTGCAATGATACCACAACAGTATAGCCCGAACCTTGTGTTCTCATCATTTTAATGACAATCATCAGCAGATTCGCGTCACTCAAAGGAGGTGTTTGGGAAAATGAATCGTCGAACGAATCATTTGGGAGTCGTTGAGCAAATCAGTTAAAAATAAATGCTTATTATAAGACAAATAAAGTGTTTTTTATCCTTGCATGCACGTTAAACTGTTTTTGGGAACTCCCAAAACAAAAATAGGAACATTTCAAATGCTATGATAGGGGCTCTTTAACAATACTAGACTGACACAGTGTTATTTTAGTATTATTGAGATCCCACTATAGTTTTTACTAATAGTTTGAATTAGATTTTTTATATATACTTTTTAGTTATTTTAGTACATCAACTTTAAATAGAAATGTTGCTTTGGCAATCAGCTGAAAAGGTTTAATAAATGAAGATTTTATTTCAGTTATACACCAATAGATCTTATGTGGCAACAAACCTTTTCAACTCTGCGTTAGTTGTCTGCTGGTTGGTTTTACCACAGCATGAAGGAAAGATCTTACAGATTAATGAATGAACGGCTCGTTTGATCTATTGACATTAGCAATAACATCTACTTCAAACATTACAATGCTCACCATTATAACTTTCATTAACTCTACAATAAGTAAATCCACTTTGAGAGCGATGCCATAGAAATATCCACAATTCTAGAGCTGACTGTGCGCTTGTTCTGTCACATAGCAGACATGTTTCTGTGGAGCACGAGCTGTGTGTGTGGGGACTTCACCTGGTTGATCTCGTCCACCACTCTGAAGGGGCATCGGTTGAGCTCCTGCAGGGCCATGAGGTACAGCATGGTGGACACACTGCGCTCTCCTCCGCTCTGATGGTGAGGCGTGAGCTCGTGCATCTGCGCATTACTGCGAAACTTCACCTGGATGCGGATGCCGTACTTGTCATACTCCTCCTGAAACACACATTCACAGTGCTACGTTTGCTAGAGTCTGACACCTCGTGTTATGTTGCTTAAAGCTGCGATGCGTTTGCAGTACAAGTTGAGAAAGTGGCTTTCAAAATGATCAAAGAAAGGAAACTTTGCAACCACATACCCTTAAAAGTGACATGTTCATGTTAAAATACATTCTCTCAACAACGTATATTAGCAAGGCGTTCATGGGTTTATCTCCCACAGAAGTGTAAACATTAAGCCTTGAGATGAGTCCTCTCAGATCTGCCAATCACTTTCCAGCTCAACCTATAACAAGAGTTTGGGGGGCGTGGCTTCAGTAGCAGGCGGAGCCAGAGGGTGCTAACTGTGGGGCCATGACTGATGCCAGTGTTGTGCCTGAATGCATTCAATGAACAATAGTTCATGAACGCGACACGTTCATATTTTGGGCGAAGGTGAACTGAACGTACTGTATTACTGCCTGATGGACGTTACTGTGAACGTGCTCATTCTGGTGTCTGTGAACGCACACTCTCTCAGTTTAACTTCGTACAATAGGGTGCCAGATTTCTAAAGAGCCTTCCAGGCGAAAACCCGGCTAAAACACACGCAAACAGGCCTTAATATGTAGCGAAAAAAACACCCAATCTGGCAACACCAGCCACCAGTGTCGCAACACGGCCGCCGTCGACAAAGCAGCGAGCGAGGAGGCGTCGTGTGATCACTTAAACGGGTTTTATGATGAGGTTGGTGAGGATGGGAAAAATCTTACATTTATGTGCAAACTGCCCGTTGATAAAATAATTGTTGTCTGAGGTTGTATATGGGCTGTGGCAATAAATTTGTTTTTTTAAAAAAAAGCTTGCAACATATGGAAAAAAAGAACTATGAACTAGTTCATTTTTTTGAAGTATGAACTATAATCTTAACTATTTCATTTTAAAATGTGTGAACTGAACTTTGAATCATGTAGAAAGTGAACTTTCCCAACACTGACTGATGCGTTACATGGGAGAAGACGTTCAGCTTCGGTTCCAGGAGTGCAAGCCAAAATTGACTTTATTTAAACAGGTCATGAACACATCAAAGTGAATGAGGCCTAGAAATGCTACGTGCTACAATGGACTCTTCAATCCAGCATCATCACGCACCCGTTCTGATGTACAAGTTTATAACCGTGTATTCTGACATGTCCAGCGTAAACAGCCTCAAATGTGTGGCGAATCATGTCAAAAAAAAATGCACTGGTGCAGATACAGTAGATGCGTTTATTATAAAAGAGCCACAGGTTGGGTAATGCCATGCTGTTTTACTTGGACAAAACAATCATCATTTGAGAGTAAAACATAGGATAATGTACACAGGTCAAAAATATATAATACTGATCTAGTGGTTTTTGGGATATTTCAATCCAAAAATCTTACATATTGTGCCTTTGAGACATGTTTTATATTAATGCACTTCATAATACAGCAGCTCACACTGTATCCTCTGCTATTTTTCAGATGTGCTCTCAATTTCAAACTACTGTGTATAAATGGTATTGTCCTATCCTATGTCAATTATAAAAATGACATTGATATATCGTACAAACTCGTACAAACTGCCACTAGTGTCACAGAAACTACATACGACCCGACAAACAGACATCCACCAACACCACCAGCGGCCCACAGGGGTAACACTGATGTGACAGACCCAACGAGGTGTCTCAGAGAAGTGTGAACTGACCTTTACAATCTCAATTACTGCAAAATACAGCCACCAAAATAACACCCTACACTGTCAGCTGGGCAGAAACAGAAGTCTCACATGTATTGACCAAGTATTGATCAGCTGTTGTGTATGATGAGAGATGTGTATGAAAGTGGCGTAATGAAAGTGTGTGAGGGCTTCAGAGCCAATGATGGTGATACTGTTGAAGAGAGAAGTGAGTCCTCCTCACCTCGTTCTCCGAGTGCAGGTCCACCTCTCCAGCGCACTGCATCGAGCGGAAGAAATCACTGAAGCGCTCGTTGATCTGATCCACCAGCAGCTTCAGGGGATTCAGCCAGCGCTCCTTCGCCTGGGAAACACATCAATGTGTTTGGTTACTCTTCATCTGTGTGCATGATGAGGTGGTTTGTGTGAGGTGGGACGCACCTCAGCGATGTTGCGTCGGTAAGTGGTCAGAGCGTTGGTCTTCTCGTCCAGCTCCTTCTCCATTTTCTGAATCTCCTGCTCGCGACGGTTATATTCCTCCACCACCTGAGAGTCGAGACCAGCAGCGCATCAAACAGGGCAGGAATGAACAACAGCCCTTCTACTCTTCATCTTCATTAGAATCGACTGCATGGAAGTATTTATACTGCTAACTCCAGCTAGGAAGTGGTTCACTATGGAAGACTACTACACTCTTCCATATGCTAATTAATTATAATTGAACAAACTGTATACAAAGAAATATTTGTCTTTCTGTTTAACAGTAATGTCTAATAATTTATTAGACAGATCTGTCAAAAAAAAAAAAAGACAGTAAACTAATGAAGATGGAGAATGGGAGATCAGGCATTGGGTTCTCGGCACTTTAAAAAATAAAAGTCCCGCTTTCAACACACCAGCCCCCCAAAAAAGCAGCACAGCTGGTTCTGTAAAGTCTTTGTTAAAGCATTATAAGCCAAGCCAATCAGCTAGAAGGAGAATCACAACATTACAAACTTTGATTTGAAGCAAAAAAACATTTGAATATCTGACAAAAATACAAGATTGTGTACAGATTTAGTGAAGGAAAGAACTACAATCCCATGACGCCTTGCGAACAGCATAATCAGATTAAAAACAATGAAGAAATATTAAACTAATTTAAAAATGTTGATTATATGAAAAACACATATATTTTAAGTATTTTGAGGGCTTATGGAGACTAGATTACATCATATGCAGTGCAGCATCATGGGTAATGTAGTTTTTCAGCACAAATTTAGCTGTTAAACCATTATTTTAAAGTAATGTTGGCAGACGGCTTTAACAGAAGTAAATTACATCGATTAACAACCTCATAACTCACAGTAGATCTTCCTTGGTTAATAAGTTATCATTAAAAATCTATTTCCCAATGGAGAAAATTAATAATATTTGTTACTTCCATTTGGCTGCAAGAACAATTTGGAATTGATATTCTGTTCATTTGCAAGATGGACATGGTTATCAGAAGATATTGATGATCCCAAAATGGTCAAATATTGAGGAAAATATTACTCAAGATAAACTTGGAGCTCTTTAGAGCAGTGGTTCTCAAAGTGGGGTCCGCGGACCCCTGGTGGTCCGCGAGCTAAAGCCAGGGGGTCCGCGAAATAATTTACAACCTAACGTTTTTTTCCATGCTATGAGTCATGTTTTCTTTATCATCTGAAAACATGCTGTTTATTCCTAAGTAACTTATATAAAGCATTTAACATAAAACAATACAAAGTAGACACTTAAAGTTTTCTATAGATAGATGATCTATGTCTTTGCGTCAAGTAGACTTTTCGCTGCTGTTGATTTTGCGGGACGTGCGCCAGAAAGGAGACAGAGAGACGGCATGAACCCGCATCCGGTTCTTTTCTGTATTTTTAAAAGGCATGACATTTTGTAGTCATTTATAATGTAGCCTATACACAAATAAAAAAATGGACACTTTACCGTTTCGGATGATGCACTCTTGGCTTATCTATGACCATAAATAAGAGTATTCCTGTTTCCACTGCTGAGGAAAAATTCCCATGTAATTGCGCGCCGGCGTCTCGCGTGCGCGCACAATAGTCAGCACTGCTACTGTAGATTTGACATTAGAAGTCTGATCATTATCAAAATAAAAGTGCATAGTGACAGGGCCGTACCCACAACTGAGGTTGCAAGGTTGCACATCGCGATGATACTGACCTTCTCGTCTGAGGTGCTTCAGCAGACTAACAACGATAGCTCGTCAATGTCAAAATGTTTGAGTCGGAGTGAACTCAAAGTTCCCCGCACGACGTTTCAGTCAACGGTCATAAAGTGCGAGATAAGATGTAGGCCTAAATTAACATAAACTAAACAGCTGTTTTAGATAAAAGTTTTAAAAAACGACTGAAACAATCAGTTTGCAAAGTATTAATCAAGCTCAACTTTAACAAAGGAAAAAGCAGGTCAAGAGAAACATACTGTGCCCATGAGATTAACATTATGGATTCATATATTTAACATATACTGTATGGTTTTTTTTTTTAGCTAATTACAGTAGCTCAAATTAACAACGCACGCACCTATTAAACATAATGCCATTATCATTGTATTTATAGGCTTATGGGCTTTATTTGTGTGCAGAATAGGCCTAATTATTGAAACATTTTTCTTTTAAAGCCATTCCTGATTGGAATATGTGATTGTGTTTCGTGACATCTTGACAAAAAAAAAAAAAAAATGTATGCCACTGACTGACATGCTTCTACTAAATCTATAGTTATCCAATTGTGGGGCCTTAAAACACCTTAAAATGCACATGTGTAGATCAAGAACATCAAAAATTCCTAAGTGAGGGATCCTAACTAAGTGATTCCTAGCAAGATCACTTTCGTTACCTCAGTAGGCTATTTAGAAATTCCTGCATAGTACCCTGGGTGGAGACCATTCATTTTGTGCAAAAATATTTCATTTGCCGCTCACACATTAACTTTGTGCTCAATAACTGTTATAAATATGAGGGGGGTCCTTGGAATTTTTTTTTCCCCTGAAAGGGGTCCCTGGCACCAAAATGTTTGAGAACCCCTGCTTTAGAGCATCATATATGTCAAGTTCGTGTTCAGAACGGTTACTCTTTTCAAGACTCCCAATGTGAGTTGAAGTTAGGACTGGCTAGTAACATTTTTAAAGGCAGAGGTTAAGTGTGATCAGTTGTTCTCACAGCATCACTGAGGCCGGTGAAGCACTCCGCTCTGGTCTTCTCTTCATTCAACATGGCATCAATCTCATCCAGTGTATCAGGCAACTGGCTGAAGGCCTGGAAGGAAACCACACACACATACTGTTGTAAAATAATGAGTTAAACACAGAATGGAGGACAGATGTCTGAGGTAGACAGAACTCACTTCATGTAGTTCCTCTGGGACCGCCGTCTCTCCAGGGATCATGTTACAGATCTCGCTGGCCCTCCTCATCAGGGTCTTGCATGTGTTCAGCAGATTGTTCTTTACCTGGTCCAGCTTGGTATATGCCACCTGTGCCAATATAGACGCATGTTCTTGGGTCTTACTGGACACCATTCATCAGTGGGACAGGAAGTTTTCATTAAAGAAATTAAAATATCCTAGGAATGTACCTATATGAAAATTTTGGCCGATACGATAATTCTTTATTTAGAAATCTATACAGACAACTAGTGTTGTCACGGTACCAAAATTTCAGTATTCGGTACCAATACCAGTAAAAATTCACGGTTCTCGGTACCAAAGCTTAGTTTAAATTTACATATATTTAAGTGTTTATCACGGTTACAAGTATGGAAACTGTACATTTGCATTATCAACACTTTAGAAAAAGATTAGATAAAATGACCTAAAATAAACAATAGTATGCACTAACACATTTTAACACATTAAAGTTGTTTGTAAAGTTTTAATCCATTAACATTTATTTAATGCACAATGAATAAAGTGAACAAACATGAACAACCAAGTGTTTGTATTAAATAACATTTGCAAACATATATATGTTGTAAAAATATATTGTTCACTCAATGTGTTGATATGAACTAAGTAATGTTGATGAATGGTATCTTATTGTAGCATTACCAAACTATACAGGAGATAAAACATGTTTTATTTGACTTGACTGTACTTTTATTTAATCTAAAACTGCATTCATATTTAATTTTTAAAAGGCTTTTTAAACCTGCTGAGTTATAAAGGCAAGAATACGCCTAGAACTGGCACTGACATTAAATGACATAAATAGGGATGCGTCGATACTAATACCAGTACTCTGGTGTCGGTTGGATACTACTGTGCTCGTGTACTCGTAAAACTACCCCGAAAGCACTTTAGAGGCCGTTCACATATCGCGCGTGTTTTTTTATGATATTTTTGCGCGTGCTTATTCTTTCCAAAGCGCTTCCTCTCACGCGGCGTCTGTCGTTGCTATGCAACGAGTTTTTATTATGAGCGCGCTTGCCTCGCGCCTATATTTGAAATTGCGAATTTGCATGTAATCGGCCTCTTATGGCAACGTGACATTAGCCTAATCCAAAATATTTCCATATGTGGCTCTTTCCTCCTTTCGTTTCAACAAGTGGATTCAGAGAGAGAGCGATATATCAGTGTTATGAAGAGGACGCAACTGTGCACCTTTCAGACAGCGCGTCTAGAACTGGATTAGGTATTCGGTACCTAGAAAAGCTGGTACCGTAACATTTTTTTTTTTTAGTACCGACTTGGTACCGAAGTACCGAGTTTTTTGACAACACTACAGACAACCGATATATTGGCTGATAAATTTACCTCCAAATTTTGATACATCTTTTGAGAGCCTGATTCCAAAATCAAAAGTCTTAGCGCACAATAATGATGTTCACATAATTTTATGTAGCCTGTATGACCAACTTTATTGTATTTTCCTTTTTTGGTGATTCCAATCATATTTCAAGCAATTCAAAACCATCACAGCGAACAGCGCCTCTGTTGTGTCTCAGCGGAAGGAAATAATCCATTATTTATCGGCTTAAATATATCTGCCAAATTTTCTTATCGGACCGATAACGATTACATGAAAAATGAACAAATATCAGCCGATACCTTAAATATACTAAAAATATACAATAATTCAAATTCTCTACCTGAATAATTAGAGGCCATTTACCCAACATATTTTATTAAACTTTTAGACGTTTTTTTGAAGTTCTTTTAACCTGAGCACAAAAGACGTGAGCGCAGCGGTCAAACACGTCCATTATGGCCTAAAAAACAATGAAGTAGTAGCGCAGTGGAATGGAAAAACGCATTCTTTGTATTTGTATTAATTGAAATATCGAGTCAGCATCAAATATTACAAAATATTTAATAAATATAATAACTTATCTTTTATATCAACACAAATATATTAATGCGATAATATATTTGAATAAGAACTGAAATGGGTTTATAAAGGGTCATTTATGTAATTGTTCAACATCACATTTGGTTGTTAGACGGGTCTGACCTCTGCTCGCTTGAGTTCAGAGGAACTGTCCCTGCAGTCCGTCTCCAGTTTGGTTTTCTCAGCGGAGAGACCTGCGCTCTGGAGAGCCAAGTACACCTTCTCCATACTCAACCTGGCCTTCATCTACACACACACACACACACACAGTCATGAGAGAAAGAACATCCGAGAGTAGAAACCAACATGCAGAGAGCACAAACACACCTGCATGTGACTCAAATACTCCTCCATTATGGCCACTTTCTTGTTGTTCACAGCAGCGATCTTGGCATTCGTTTCCTGTTCAATTGCCTGCAAGTTGAACTCACTTTGCTCCATCTGCCTCAAACTACACAGAGAGAAAGAGACTAAAGTAAAACAGGAATCGTTCATGTCGGTTACAGAGTGTGGGATGAGAAAGTTTGATTTGAACAAACCCGTCACCCAAAGTTTGAGCAGTAGCAATGAGACGCTTGCCTTAGCAAACACCAGTAATGATACGAAAGAATGAACCCCACGGGTGGTTTCTGGCAGAGGGTACCTGTCCTGTTTTGTACTGATTTTCTGCTCCAGTTGTCTCTTCTTGCCTTTCAGCTCAGACAGTTTCTTCTTCTGAGCACGCAGCTCATTATCACGCCGCTCTAGTCGAGCCTGTTGCTCACGAATGGCTGCCATCCGTTCATCAACTCTCTGCACCTGCCGCTCTGCTGCCTGTCAACGAGACGTACAACATTTCTCAGCCCCCTAAAGCTATTTCTTAATGACTTAATGAAAACCAACATTTCCCCAACTAAATCAATATAGATTCCAATCTGCTGCAGCATTTAAATTAGTGGTGACAAGAGCGGTTTCCCCCATCAAAGTTGTAAACTTCATTTCTAAACAAAAACAACATCATCACTTCCTGGGAAAATGGTGCAAAATATCTGTCATAAAAATGGAAGTTGCTGCAATCAGGGAAGAAAGAGCGCATAGAAAAATATGAACAAAATAAACGCATGTCATGTTCTCTTGCGTTCGGATGAACACAATCATGTGAGATGCTTCTGGGAGAGAATTAAACCAAATCATTCTGATGACAGACTTTGCCTCAGGCATTTCAGAGCAACCCAACCAAAAAAGTTGCTTTGATGCGATCGGTCCGCTGGTTATTCATTATCAAATCAAATCCACTGTTGAAGCTGCACATCGACGGATTGAATCAGTGAATGTGTTTCTATCATAATCATGTCTTTTTAACTGATCTAAAAATTTATCCACCTAAATTATGCACATTTTTAGAATATATGCGCATCTTGGACTATTCCCGCTCTCACCCTCATCTGCTCCTCCAGGTGGCGTCTCTCGTCTGCATCCACGGCTGTGGTGAGGAACTGTGAGGGCCGCAGTGCCGAGTTACTGGAGACCACGTTATTAGAGTACAAGGACTTCTTCACGGTGTACTTCTCCTCCGCCGTGTAGATCATCCTCAACTGAACCTCTTTGATCACCTGCAAAAGAATGTTTATTTATGGTCAGCAACAAGGCTATTTTCATGAACGTCATTCATACAATTAACAAAAAACTATACAAGGCATTTCAGGTTCATACAAGATTAATACAAATTCTAAAATGCCTTCAGGTGTTACATAGATTTTTAAATACAAACACATTTCTGAATAAAACCGTTGTCTATTTACGTTAAATATCTTGCAGTCCAGTAAAATATGTTTAATACTCACTGATGGTGGTTCTTGCCACAGTGAAATACTAGGAAAAGCTTGTAGGACCAAATGAAACTAGTTTTATTTTTCCTAAATTCCATATTTTCCATTTTAATTGTTTAATTAATTTTCATTTAATAATCAAAATCTATGTCAAATCAATTAAAAATTTAACAATTTAATAATTTTAACAAAACAATTCTGAAATTCTGTGCTATCGGTTTTACTTTTTTTTAAACTCTTCTTATTCTGCAGTAGACAACATACTGAGAGTTGACCTTTAATATTTAGACACTAGTCAATAATAAGTGTACAGCCCTACTTTTGATATATTTATCCAACATTGGCTGAAATTTAACAGTAAATTCTGCGATTCTATTCACATCTTCAACAACATGAAAACCATAGGGCCCTAGGCTTGAATCTTTTGCCAAATTCGTAATGTGTATAAGGGTTTTAGGCAGCAGCATTCCAGCAGAATAAAGGAGGACGCACCTTCTCGATCATGGTCTTGGTCTTCTCTGTTCCTACAGGTACATCGTTGACTTTGTACTGATGGCACAAGTAACTCATGACTTCCTCAGGAGCATCAAACAGCTCACGCAAGTACGAGAAGAAGCCATAATGCCTGCCAAAAAATAAAATACATATGCTAACAATGAACTGAATAATATGTATTAGTGGTGCAGGTGAAGAAAAAGGTGTTACTTTAGAGTCTCGAGGGATCGTGACGGTGGTTTGTTAGAGCAGGACTCTGCTGGAGCGATGACACTGTTGACTCGGAGCTTCTGGGTGTCTCGCACCTGAGATTAAACATGACACATCTTACTGATTTTACTGCACTTACATCTATTCTAGATGTTTCTTAAGCTATCATTTTATAGCATTATATTATTTTATGTTTATTGCTAGAAAATAACATCAATTGTGTCAATTCATATCACATTAAAAAATCTTATATAAATTAAGGCTTTAAACTGTAAGACCTGGTAAACTTTGGTAACAGGGTTTCAAACTTCATATAAAATGAACAGAAAATTGTTCATGGTGAGCAATCACCATTTTTCCCTACCGACTGACATGATTAATTCGTAGAAATTTGTCAATCGGCAGAGATTTGGGACTTCTTGGTCTTAAAGTGACAGCATCCAAATTTACCAGCAGTATTTAATAATGTTACTCTAACAAAAACAAAAGAGAGAAAATCTCTCACTGCTCTTGACTGAATCACTTCAATAAGAATAAATATAGTTTTACTTTACACAGTAAAGACTACACATTGCACTTTTATACATTTGATTATATATTTTATGTAGTATTTCTAGTGCTTTAAGTTTTTGCACTTTCTTCATCACTGTTTACTCGCCTTCAGTAAGCTTGAGCTTGTTTAGTTTTTTAATTATTCTAGTATTCGTTTTTTGTCATATAGAAAATGGTGTCAAGAATTATGATAGATGACAGATAACCTAAAAAAAAAACGATATCATGATACATATCATTACCGTGAAATAAATGTCATATCGCACACCCCTAATTTTTTTATTAAAAATGATACGCATTGTGTCAGCTTCATTCTACATACTACATCTCACCTCTTCCATGAACTTCTCCATGTCCTGCTGTCTCTGAAAGACGAAGGCTCTTAAGTCGTTTAGAGGGATGTGACTCTCAATGTATTTTGCGTGCCGAGTATCATGGACATTTATCTGACAAAACAAATTGAAAGGACATCAAACTAATCTGCTTGAACAGCCATGTCCAGAAAACAGCAAGAGAGTAGGCCATGTGCTCTCACCACCAGCATCATGGGCTCGTGGACATTGCCTTTAAAACGGTCACGGTTATTCCTCAGCCACATGAGGGCGGTGTACGTGTCACGAAAACGGCTGCGCAGCTTATCCTCTTTCACCCTCATCAGGTCCTCCAGACTCCTCAGACGATTCTGCAAACCTTCAAAACAACAACCAATACACTAAAAATGAGTACAAGACTTAAGTATGAACTGATGGAATTGATATGCTACATTGAGTGGTTCCTCCACAAAAGGTAAAGATATAACAGATTTAAGTGGGTTTTTTTCTATTAAACATTACGTATAAATTCTCCATAAGCTTCGTCTTTATCTCTGCGCAGGTCCAAACTCTCGCCCTCCAGTTTGGCTTTTTCTTCCTGGATGGTCCTCAGCTCTGCGTTCACAGCCTCGATCTGGGGCGTGACGTCCTCCATGCTATTCATGTTCTGCAGCTCCTTCTGCAGGTCTCGGATCATGAGCTGTGTGTGTCCGATCCGTTTCTGCCTGTCGACCTCCTCCGTCTGCTTCAGACTCAGGTCCTGTCTGATGTCATCCACCTAGCGGTTGACAGAGGAGACTTTGTTTTAATACAGTCTTTATTGGTTTAATAAAGCAGTGTTTCTCGACCAGCGGCTCTGAGCCCAAAAGTGGGTCTTGGAGTGTGCAGTCATAGAAACAATAACAAATGTAATTTCGAATGTTTTAGTAATGCGGGACTTTTATTTTGAAAGACATGAAAGCTGTTGACTCTTCAGTCAGACTCAGTTTAAGTAAAGAGTGCCTGAGTAAAATGCATTGCCTTGATTTGCTGGAAAGGATTTGCACATTTATTCTATTCATCATGATTAGCGTTTCATCAACAGTTCATGTTAGCAGGGCTTGACATCAACATCCGCAAACCTGCTAAATGCAGGTGGATTTCAGGAGTGGTGTGCAACAGTCATTCCTACAAGCCACATTGGCAGGTTGAATTTGATATAATATAGCCAATACATTTTTCAATTGTAGTATTTTAAAAAGGCATCTGAAATAATCAACTAAGTGCAATGGAGTGTTGCCAAAAATATAGATTTTTTTTTTTGATACTGAAATATCAGAAATGCTTCCAATACTCATTTTACTCACTTTCTCATCTCTCCGACAGCGAACCGACACACAAACCCGCCTCTCATCACTCACTCACTCCCACAGATTATGTGCTCATACTCAAAGTGCACCACATAAAGCCTCTCAGTACTAAATTGAGTTCTTTTTAGTTGCTTATTGCACTTAGACATTCAAATACACACTAAATTATGTCAAAATGGCAGTCTGGGTGAGTATTCACATGAACACGGTCAGTTATGTTATAAGTAAACGTAAAAGAAAATGAAGTGTAACAGTATAATGGATCTGTGCGTCAGGTCTTAAAGTGACAGCAGCCTAAAATACCTTAGAGATTTTGAAAAAAAATCTATTTGGCAGTTTTCCCCCATAGCATCCATGTCAAAATTGTGGCCAGTAAAAAATGCTAAGTGGCTAGTAACTTTAGAAAACCACTAGCAAAAAAGTTAATGTCATGTTAGTATTGTGTATTTACCATAGTATTTGTTGTTTCTGTGGTGGCTCATACAAGCTTACTAACTTTGTTGTATTAACAAAAACTAGTAAAGGACAGCTATTTAATAACCTTACCTTATACTGTTTTTTCATCAGTGTTAACCATTTTTGAGAAATGAATACTTGGTTCGAAGACCTAACAATGTGGGTTGTGGTGACCATGCTGAGAACCACCATTATAAAACACTCTATTAAAATGTTTCATAAGCGACTTCTCTTTCAGAACAAACCTCTTTACTCCTCAGTTCAAGCTGATCATGTTTCTGTTTGCATTTCTGTGACACCTCTCTGATACTGGTGGTCTGAAAACAAAACAAAAAAACAGTGGCATTAACTGTATATATAGAAGGAGATGATGGTTGGTAAAAGGGTTAGTGGTCTGTGGTCTGACCTTCTCCCTCATCTGCTGCTCGATGGGCTGCAGCTGACTCTCCACCGACCGGATCTTTCTGACCAGTGGCTCCTGAGCTTCTTTCAGCGACTTCAGCTTCCTTTTCATTTCCTCTCTCTCCTTCTTCACCCCCTCCATCTCTTTACGTGCCGTTTCATACTCCTAAAAATTGGAAACAGAGAATAGTCTAGAAATACTTCAGAGTGCACAGTTGGTTTTATCAAAAGGACATATGAAGAGTTCAGAAGCAAAAGCCTCTAAGTGCCATTTGAAATTTTCTTCTAAAATGACCGTTTTTATCAAGCTTGTATATTTAAGTTCAGTAATTTCACTTAAATGGCAATGAAGATTACCTATTAATTGTTATTTAAGTGAAATTACTGAACTTAAATATACAAGCTTGATAAAAATGGTCATTTTAGAAGAAAATTTCAAATGGCATTTAGAGGCTTTTGCATCTGAACTCTTCATATTATCACTTAAAACTTTGCAAGTCTTTGTTCAGGTTTCTCTGAGCAATAGGACTTTTTATTGCCATCTATTGGTGTTGTTTAAAGGCACATGGGCGGGACAATAGCCTGTCATATGAGATCCACCAATAGCAAACCACAACCATTCAATCAATTCCCCACAGACAAAATCAAGTCCCGTCCTACATTTGATCTTGTTCACGAAGCCGTATCACACTGATATATTTGGCAATAGGGAAGAAAAGACTATCAAAACTTCTATTTCATGCCGACTTTAAATTCACAACTTTATGTGGAAGCATAGCAACTATAAACATGCTGAGATGTCCCAGGTATTTATCATCAATGATTAATTTATTTGATAACCAAAAGCGTTTAAAATTAATAAGAGGGAGTTAGTACTATAAAGTGACTAGTATTCAGTGCATAGTAGGGGTGTAACGGTACACAAAAATCACGGTTCGGTACGTACCTCGGTTTTAAAGTCACGGTTCGGTACGTTTTCGATACAGCAAAAAGAAAGAAATGCCAGAGAAATTTCCTATTTGTTTAAAGAAAAAATATTTTTAAATAAGTGTGAGTTTTCCTAGATCTTGAAACTTTCAGGTTTATAAATAGGGGTCATCTTTGAAGGATGAACAAATAATGTTTTGGTCATCACATTAAAAATAACATTTAAATATATATTTATTTATATAATATTTGAATTTTGAAGTGCTGGAAAAAGATGTGTGAAGTACTTGAAAGCATTTCACCATTCCAGCCAAACTGGTTACAGTTAGTGCTACTATATTAAATCCATGGTGAATGTTGCTGGTCTGTGGACGTAAAGTACTAGTTCATTCACGGCACAATGTTTCTCCTGGTTTCCATGACAGCGCTGTTTGATCTAATAGAGACCTACGGTTAATAACGGAGAAATGTGAATGCATCTCACTAGATCTCGCAGCAATGTTATTACCTCACTGGCGAATTCAAATGTTTTCTTTACCGGATCTCTTAGCGCTGTGTAACAGTGTTGCTTGATCGAGATCAGCTCGCGCTGCACAGATGTTGCTGGTCCGAACTGATAAACGATCCGTGAAGCACATAACGAGGAGCGCAGTTTCGTTCTGCTTTCATTACCCTTGCCATTTGGATGTTGCGCAACGTTGTGTTGGCCGCGTCAGCACGAATTTTGCCGGCAAGAAAAATGGTCCAAGCAATCGTTCGGTTTGTATGCGTACCGAACCGGAAGCCTCGAACCGAAACGGTTCAATACGAATACATGTACCGTTACACCCCTAGTGCATAGTGTGATCCAACCAAGCAGTCAGACACCATGAGTGAGGACCACCTTTATAAAGAGGAATCATTTCTCCCAGGAAAGCTTTTTAGCACTAATGCAACAAAATGAAACAGAAAGAATACAGTACACAATCATGGCTTATGATCAGTATCAAAGAAACCTTGCACTCTGGTTTTGGGAGAGTTTAGCCTAGTAAGATCTCACTCACCACCCAGGGTTTCTTCTTCTCCAGCATCTGGATCCTGTCCAAGTGTCTCTTCTTCATGTAGTAACGTTCCACATCCAGCTTGTTCCTCTCATTCCTCTGCCTGGCCTTCTCTAGGAAGTTGGCTTTCTCCTTACAGACATTCTGATCAAGCACCACAAACAGCATGGAGTAAAATTAAAGGCCTAATCTGGACTAAAAACACATATACTGGATTTCAAAGAAGAAAGGCGTTCACCTCCAGGTCCCTCTCTTTGCTGCGAAACGTCTTGAGCTCGCAGTGAAACTCATGCATCTCTGGTGGGCCGACAGACTTCTCAGTGGCTTCTAGAAGCTCAATCTTACTCATCTTAGCAAACTCACCGACCTTCTCCTGTGACACCAGATCAAAGAGGCAGAGGATTAATTACAGATATTACTGATTATTTTCCCCACATTCAAGATTGTTGCAACTCCTCTCTCCCCGGTCTGTCAGTAATGCTCTGTTTAGTTCCTGTCTCTATGAAACCCCTCCTTCTGAAAAGAATAATGTCCTCTGATTGGTCGACTGGATCAGTGTGTTGTGATTGGTCAGCCACTTCGATTGTGTTTGGGAAATGTCCCGCCCCTTACCATAACTGCCAGTTTCAACACTACCAGAGCCGTTAAATATGAGAGTTATGACACTCTTTGATTCTTAGAGACTCATCAGACCAGTCAACATTTTTCCAGTCTTCAACTGTCCAATTTTGGTGAGCTCTTGCAAATTGTAGCCTCTTTTCCCTATTTGTAGTGGAGATGAGTGGTACCCGGTGGGGTTTTCTGCTGTTGTAGCCCATCCGCCTCAAGGTTGTGCATGTTGTGGCTTTACAAATGCTTGGCTGCATACCTCGGTTGTAACGAGTGGTTATTTTAGTCAAATTTGCTCTTCTATCAGCTTGATTCAGTCAGCCCATTCTCCTCTGACCTCTAGCATCAACAAGGCATTTTCGCCAACAGGACTGCCGCATACTGGATATTTTTCCCTTTTCACACCATTCTTTGTAAACCCTAGAAATGGTTGTGCGAGAAAATCCCAGTAACTGAGCAGAATGTGAAATACTCAGACCGGCCCATCTGGCACCAACACCCATGCCACACTCAAAATTTCTTAAATCACCTTTCTTCCCCAATTTGACATTCAGTTTGGAGTTCAGGAGATTGTCTTGACCAGGACCACACCCCTAAATGCACTGAAGCAACTGCCATGTGATTGATTGATTAGATAATTGCATTAATGAGAAATTGAATAGGTGTTCCTAATAATCCTTTAGGTGAGTGTATATATAGTGCAATAAAAGCACATTAAAAGCTCATTATAATAAGAGCACTCACCTGTGGCAGAAACTGACACAAGTTGCCGACCTGAATGTGCAGCTCTTTCACGGCCTCCTCCACAGCCTTCTGACTGGAGTGCTTTTTATTGAGCATCCAGGACGACTGGTTGTTTTCCACCTGGATCTCTCTGGTGATTATCAAGTTTCCACTCGCTCGGAATCTGGACATAAAGATGAACTGATCAAATCTATGTCTCTCCAAGGACTTTTGGAAATGGAAATTGAACATATACTTACAATTCAATTTCAACTGAACCTTTATTACACCCTCGCTTCACATACAGACCAACCTAGAACACAAAAATATCTAGTTAATTCAGTATTTACTGACAAGTATGTGAGTGCAATTTTAGTATGTACTATTATAATTTTTATTCATTTTGAATTCATTTTTTAAAATTCATATGAAATGAAAATTTCATTTTTATTTCAGTTTTTGATATTTTCTGAGCATAATGAAAATTAATGAATGAATATAAACTATATGACGTGTATAAGTCTTTTATATTTTATTTCAGGTTATGGAAATATTTATGTATGGTATTAGTTTTAGTTAGCGATAATAACCATTGTATCTGATAAGGTGTTTCTAAATGCAGTTCTGAAAAAATGAATGCACAAAAGAAAACATTTTCAGTATCATACATTTTTTTTAAATGCTAATTAAAGTTCTAGTGAACCAGAAATTGCAACCGACCGACTTCACATATTTCCAAGGAAAAGGGAATATTGAATAGATGGCAGGGTTTCACTTTAACGCTCCTCCTCTCCATCCCTCGCTCACAGCAGACTGACAGTTGAGGGAAGTGGTTAAGGATACATTACTCGACCCATCAGAGAAGGAATGCTATTCCAGAGATCGGAAGCAAATTTTCTGATTTTGACTTAAGATTACCATGACAAACTATTTTTGTTCTGTGTATTATTAACTTGCATGGATGAATTGTTCATAAAAAGACTAGTAAAGTGCGTTAAAATACATAAGGTCCATTTTGATTTCATGACAACTTTAAACCACCAATCCCTTAAAATGTACATTATTGGAGTAAAATTAAATCTAAAACATTAAATTCCTCAAGGAGGCCACATTGCAGTATGTATAGGAGAAAACCCCACAGGAATTGCATCTACGTAAGTTTTAACTATGTAAAGCCTTCACTACGTGAAGCCTTGTACACTTTGCAAAGTATGTATGTGTGTGTGTGTGTGTGTGTGTGTGTGTGTGTGTGCCAAACTACATAAACATGTGTCTATTTGGGAATCATTTTGTGAGCTTTCAAACCTTCAGGTAGCGCTACAGTGTATGGAAAGTTGTAGAGTTTATTGTGAAATGATTGGAAGTCTGACTCTGAATACAGACTCTGAATACATGTCTGAAGCCTAAACAGGAGCTGTGGGGTAACACTAGTTAGCTCTCGGGAGACTCGCCTTGTCCCCTCGGCCCAGCACGGCTGTTTTCCCGGCCAGGCCCAGGCAGATGGCACACACGATGCTGGACTTCCCCGTGCCGTTGGCTCCCACAATCATGTTGAGTTTGGGACCGGGAAACACTTCTGAGTGATCGTATGTGCTGAGAACAGAGAAGGGCGTGATTACAAGCATGATCCAGACTTAACATTAATCTGTCAACACTCACAGGACACTTACAGGAAGTTGTGCATGGAGATGCGGACAATGGAGCCCTCCACAAACCCTCCTCCAGCTTCTGCTGGGACATTTGTGCTGGTGGACGGTGTCGCGTCGCGGTTGGAAGGCTGTGAGTTGGTTAATGCATGACTTATTCGTTTTCTCTTCTGCGGCAGCTCCATTTCTCTAGCCGTAAATCCCACTGACGGTTGATGGCAAGCACCAAGCAGCCTCACATCACTTTCGATTCGCGCCTGTGTGTTGTGAGTAAGTAGCCGTGTGATTGGCCGACAGTAGTCACGTGGTGTGTGGTGGGGAGGGGTGGCACGCGCCATGCGTTATTATTGGTGAGTTGTGCTGCAGCTTACAAGCACTAGATGGCACATTAAAGATTTACCCTGCGACAAACTACATTTAGCATGCCAACAAACAATTTTTTTTTACCAGTTATACAGCTTGTAGTAGTGTATATTGTGCACAGGACCTGAGTTTTATTTATTTATATGACTTTTTGCCAAAATGTGCAGTATTTTGCGCGTAAATACTACATCCCAGCTAACAAAGTTAGGTTCTGAGAACGTTTTTCTAACGTTCCATTTTGGTTGTGGGAACGTTAATTTAAAATGTTCTAAAAACGTGGAAATGTCCAGTTTGCTTAACGTTGCTGGAACGGTGTCAACGGTGTGAACGTTAGCATAATGTTGTTAGAACGTTATCCTAAGGTTAGCATAATGTTGCTGGAACGTTATGAGAACGTTTATCAAACACAAATAACCTGATAAAGACGTTCCGATAACGTTGTTCTAAGAACGTTTTTTATCAACGTAATGAGAACGTTCATCAAATACAAATAACGTGATAAAGACGTTCCAAGAACGTTGTTCTAAGAACGTTTTCTCTCAACGTTACAAGAACGTTAATAATGTTATATGAACGTTCCGAAAACATTATTTTAATAACGTTTTGTCCTAACATTTACACAACTTTTAAAGAACGTTAGTGAATGTTCTGGGAACGTTCCCTGTTAGCATAGGCTACTAACATACTCGCCTTATCATTGCTCTCAAAGAATATGTGTATATTCGACTGTTTTCTCAGGCAACTTATTAGTTGTGCTAGTTTCATGTCTCTCACATCACTTTGCACTCTCATTCTCTCATTATAAAATAACTCAATCATTTTTGATGTCACTTTATTTTTATTTGTATTTCGGTAGATGTGCAACAGGCAAGAAACTGTACAGTCAGTTGGCCAAAAGAATATGATAATCAGATATGAACAGTCCATATTACACCTTTACGTGAAGGACTAACATTTATTCACATATTCAAATAGGAATCTCTTCAATTTTCAGTTTTAAATGACAAATAAAAAATAAAATAAAAATCACCAGTTTCGAATGCTGCTGTCCTGAAGTACAAATTAAAACAAGCAAATAAGACATCTGTAAAGGGCTTCCTTTAAGGTGACTATGGTTTCAATCTTTAACAATGTATCTAAAGTTTTAATATACAGACATGAGGAATTGCATAGCAGGAATGGTTCATAAGTCAAATACACAAGAAAAGTTTGCAGGTGATCAGATATGGTCATAATGCAGCCGTCTCCCTCCCGTTCATCCTCACAGAACTTTGCACTCCACACGGTTTATGTTTTCTCTCTTCATCATTCTTTTCTTTCTCTCTTTATTAAGTCATTGAATGAATATCATTATTATTTCCAGAGAGGCTCAGTTGGGGGATATGGTTATCAGCATATTCTGTGTGGATAAAAGTATGAAAAGTATGAAAAGATGTTCATGGTAACATTAATAACTTTTTATCTGATGATCAACTTATTATAAATACCTCTGCATATTCCCTTTTCAAAAATAACATCATCGATTGCAATATCACTCCTTACTGATGCACCCCTGGTGGCTTCAAACACAATCTAAATATGCAGACAAATAGACATAATATATTAATGAATTACATCGATTAAATGTTGACATAAAATATAAAAAATGTCCAAACCCATAAGACTTTGGAAAACACAAACATGATTTATTTTTTGTTGTTGTTGTTGATGATGAAATCTTAGTGCTGCTAACGCAACTGACACTTTGACGGTTCAACAAGTTCACCAGGAGATCATAAAATTAATACTTATGAATTGAGTTGAGTCAAAATTTTCTGAAGAGACACGATCGCTTTATATGATGAACAGATTAAATTTAGGCTTTTATTCAAATATAATCGTTGATCAACACATCAGTGGAGGTAAACGAAGCTCAAGCATGTTCACTTTACGTCTGAGAACCAATGAGGTTCATTCTCATGTTACGCAGCATGTTTGAGCTTCAGCAAGAACCAATGAGATTTGTTCTCATCCGTCAAGCAGGTTCGGTTGAGATTCTGCTTTTGTTAGCTGATCAATTTTTATATGCGAATAAAAGCCAAAATTAAAAGATCAAGTCCCCAGACTAAACCAATCTATTCAAATTGATCAATCTCTTAAAAGCTAGAGTTTTACAATCTCCTTATGAACTTTTCGAAATGTCAAAGTGGTAGTTGTGTAGCATTCAATTGAGGGATGGAAAGCACTAAGATTTCATTAAAAACATCTTCATTTGTGTTCTGAAGATTAATGAACATCTTACGGGTTTGGAACAACATGAGGGTGAGTAATTAATGACAGAATTTTCATTTTTGGATGAACTAAGGTCACAAGTCACAACCAATTATTGTTGGGCTTCTTGATAAAATTAATAAATTATGGGGGGAGGGGGGGTTCCTTGAGTTCGGGCCAAATGTCCCTCCCCTCAGACAGGACACCAAATACACATAACCTTTACTCATGTAAGTCTGAACTCGTGAATGCAGTTTAATGCAACTAACCAGGTGTTGTTGGTCATATTGGTAGTTTATGGATGCTCTGAGCCAGGAGATGCCCTGTTCTCCGTGGCTCGTCCACAATAATTTGTCCTCAATTCCTTGTCCAGTCTGGAGGTAAACACTCAACTGGCCAATCCCTGAGCCATACATATGGTAGTAGAACTGCAAGCACTGTGGTTCTCTAGAGCCGCGCAGAGAGCTGGAGAAGAGGCGCGCTTTGTGTCCGGGCAGCATCATGGACGCCTCGATGTGCAAATAATGACCTAAAGACAGAGAAACGCCAGTCTCAGTCTCAGGTACAATAAAATTTAATTACCACAGAAAATAATTGTACTGCACAAGGCCATTCATCTCTTTCTCTGGTATCAGGAGAAAGGTTTATGGATCCTAAAGGCTTCATGGACACATATGTCCAACACAAATGATCCTTCTCTGTACAGATGTTCAAGCTATATTGAGCATTGCTATAGACCATTTCACAAGATGTAAACAACACTGGTCCAGAAGCACTTCCTGTTTTAGTTTGTAACTGTAACTTTATTTCACATGTAAAGAAAACATATTAAAGATGTTTGTTTAACTTTTTGATTCAGTTTTATATGTTCTGTTGGTTGTATTTTATCCCAGCTTTTATGTAGTGTTAAAAAACTGAAACAGGAAGTGCTTCTGGACCGGTGTTGTTTACATCTTGTGAAATGGTCTATATTGAACTTCAATTGTTGTATTAAAATGTATTCTTTCTAGTATATTTCCTTTCTTGGGAGCAAATGTTATCTGTTTTTCTCCCAAACGAGTGAATGTTTTATCATTATGTTTGGGTATCCTTCACTGATAATAAGCAGCTCAGACTCTCTTCAGCCTTGATGAGAGCTCTTATTTGCTAGTCCTATGTGAATGCCGTAACAGTGAAAATAATAGGGAAATAGGGATCTTGTTTGTGTTTGAGTGTTAAAACATAAAGGGGTCATTGAAGCCAAAAGTTTAAGGCACCAACTTACTCCAGTTAGACTAAAGTTTAGTGTTAGTCTTCTTGGTTGGAGGTTAATGAACCACTGCCATTATTGGAGATTGACTCAGTTGTTGTTCTGGAGATACTGGCTCCCAGAACTCAAATCTGCGACCTGGAAGGTCATGATGTGCCTCTGAGTGTCTGGAGATATGCTTCGTCTATCTGTATATGTGTGGAAAATTACTTTGTTTATCTATATCTTAGCCAATGAGAATCATTCAACGTGTTAGCAATGACGTAGCATAGACCTTGGAAATGGTATAACTGCTGTGATCTTTGTAACTGTAAGGAGATGGCCTACGAACTTCTGTGTGAGTCTTGAAGCTGACTTCTGCTAATGAAACTGCAAACTATATTCAGTAAAACTTTTCTTTAATTTTTTATAATTCTGACTCCGGGTCTTCATTCTTCATATCTGGTTCTGGGTCTTTGACTGTAAACCCCTAAGGGATGATAGTGTTGACGATTTACCTTCACTGTCAGAAAAAAAGGTACGAAAGCTGTCACTGGGGCGGTACCTTTTCAAAAAGGTACACTTTTGCACCTAAAGGGAGCATATTGGTATCATAATTGTACAAATATGAAGGTACCAATATGCACCCTTTAGGTACAAAAGTGTACCTTTTGAAAAGTGACAGCTATCGTACGTTTTTTTCTGAGAGTGTTGGGTACGAGTGAGCCAGCGTTGTATTTGTGCATTGCGCGTGAAATCTAGGGCACCAAATTTGGAAATCCACTGTCTCCTAATAGAGAGTACACTTTCATGACCGTTTCTTAAAAAGTGCACTTTGTAATGAGTGTGTTAATCAATATTACATTTAGTAAATACATATTTAAATGCACTAAATTGCAAATGTGTAATTACAAATACGTTTAAATAATCCATGGCATAAATGTTTTATTAGAAATTGTATTAAAGTCAATTTTGTTTACCAGAAAAGCAGTACACTTTAATCATGTTTCAAGACAATTAAATTAGGAAATTATACAGTTGACTTAAGTCACCCTAAAGTTCAACTAAATGCATTTAAAATAAATTTGAACTATAATACATTTTCATTTAATTGCAAATAACATGTAATTAAGTGTTCGGAAACATTACATTACAATTAAGACTCCTGATAAAGACATTACAAATATGCATCCTGATAAAGTTCCCTTGGCCTTTGGAATTAAAATAGACCCATCATCACACACCTTCCACCACACCTAGATTGGCATGGTGTACTTTCCATAATATCATCTTTCAATGCAAATCAAACCAGCTATTAGGCTAACTGAAGTAAAACCATGCCAATCCCTATAGGCATGGTGAATGGTGTGTGATGATGTGGGGATATTTTAATTCCAAAGGCCAAGGGAACTTTATCAGGATGCATATTATC